GGTCAACAGATTTGGATTTTCAATCTAATGTTGATTCTAAGAAATTGGCATTAGAATCTGTTTTCACCATAGGAGGAGCAACCATAGTTTAAAGGAATGTAACGTAATCTTATAGTGCAAACTTGACTATGGATGCAAAGTATGTTATGGCTTGTGAAGTGGCAAAGGAAGAAGTATGGCTCCGTAAGTTCCTTATCGACCTTGAAGTAATTCCATATGTGAACAAGCCCATTACACTCTACTGAGATAACAGTGGAGTAGCAGCTAACTCAAACACTCTATTATGATAACAGTGGAGCAGTGGCTAATTCAAAAGAACTGCAGAATCACAAAGCAGCAAAACATATTGAAAAAAAGTATCATCTCATTTGAAAGATCATACAACATGAAAAAGAACTTGTGAAGAAAATTCCAACAGAGTAGAACCTCATTGATCCATTCACAAAGACTTTAACACAAAAGAGTTTCAAAGGTCACTTAGAATGTTTTAGAATAAGGGATATGTCATACTTGCTTTAGGAAAGTACGAGATTGTTAGGAATTTGAGAATATGGTGTCTTGGAAAGTAAGTATATTCTCATGTTCAATTTCATTTATTTTATTTGTAATGAAATTTCATTTTAATAAATAAGACAAAGAGTTTGTTTTAAGTAAGTATTTATTATCTAGTTATAAAGATGCCAAGATTCTAATGAGGAATTAAAATGCATTTGTATAAAGAGGAATACATAGGAGACAAGTATTTTAACAGAGTGTAAAATTGTTCATAGTTAAGTAATAAAACCGGTCACTTTATTAAGTTAAGATTGTCGTGTCCAGATTACTTCCAATGAAAACAATGTGATTCACTTAAAGAGAATGATGACTCAAAAATCAATGGAGTAGTTGACTTTGAGTAATGACATTATAAAGTGAATTGGAATCACATAAGACTTAAGTTTAAGTTAGGTCGTTTCCCTAAATCTTAATTTCACACCTATGTATCATTCACTTTTGTTAGAATTGCAATCCTAATGGATAGTGGACTCATATTTTATCTCTTTATAAGATTTGATATAAGATTATAATTGACGTGCACATCGAAGAACATATATCCAAATATTAGAGTTTATAGTATTAATATCACTTTTAGTGATTTCAAGAATATTGGTGATTTAACCTAGGCTTAGTAGATTAATGAATTAGCTACTCATCACATCTTAATACTCAAAAAATTAGATCTTGAGTATTGCATCACCAATTGGATGAAATCTAAGACTAGGAAAAAAATTGACATAAAAGGTAAAACGGTAAATTCACCTTTGCCATTGGATGGCTATAAGGATCCACAATATAAGGTTTGTAATTGGACAAACCAATATTAAATTTTACATTTTTAATATTTCTTGTAATTGTAGATAACTTAAGCATGCAACCATGAATCTATGGTGCAGTGATTCCATGGTTAATAAACTAGCATTATTTTTAAGGAGATTAAGAAATCATTCTATGTTTATTGGAGCTTGAAATATCTATATTCAGTGTGATTCCCCACTTAGTTTCATAGAACTCAACACGATTAAGATGGAATGCGTGGTTAATTATTTATCCAAATTAATGTTCAAATTTAGTAACTAAGTGTTGTCTTAACTAAGTGTTATCTCGTAATTATGAGATATAATTTTTTTAACTATAAACATTAGTATATACGGGTTGATTGAGACAAAAGTTGTCTAAATCATATTATATTTAGTAAGTCAAAATTATCTTAATGTAAAAATATTTTTTATAGAAAAATATGTATTAAAATAATTATTGACTTATAAACAAAAATAATAATGGATGATATTTAATTATAACTATAAGAATTAAAATTGTTAATTCTTTATTTATAATTAATTATAATTATGAGATAATTATATTACTACATGTGTGATTAGGATTTCCTTATTTTATTATTAATTATTTTTAATTAAATATGATAATAATAAAATAGAATAATCTTAATTGACATGGACCAGTAATTAGAATTAAATAAATAATTATTTAATTATAATTATAGGTGGAAAATGTTAATTTAATTTTAATTAATTAAATTAAAAAGAGTTCTAAGAGAGAAATATCTCTTTTTTTTATGGGGTCGAAAATCACATTGTAAATATACGATTCTGACCAAAATCCAAGCCACTTTCTTTTGAGATAGCCAAACTCCTCCATTTCTCTCTATGTTTCCTTTTTGCTCTAGCAATTTTCTATAAGCCTCATGTAAAGAAAAATTGCCATAGAAGAAATTAAGAGAAAATTATCTGGTTACCATCTTAAAAAGTATTCCATACCTAGCCTAGTTTAGGTTCGAGATTGAAAGATTCTTAGAGAATAAGTGGTGATTTACCTTGGTTAGGAATTCCAACAATTGGAGTGGTGGTGAATTTACTACAAGTAATAAAAGAGAATAATCAAGTATATTCCTAGCACGGAGTAGGTAATATCTCTTACTTTTAATTCTTTTATCTTGAAGCAATTATTATTTGATTGAATTTAAACTTCTTAGTAAATCTAAAGGAGAGGACATATGCTAGGAGGCCAAACCTTTATAAAAACTATTGTGTTGATTTTTCTTCTCACTCCTTGATTTCATTTGTGTTTTTAACCTTTTGTATTTGATAAGAAATCAATTCTCTTATTTACTCTCAAAAAAGGGATTTGACTTGAAGGAACTTTACTTTTTAAAATTGAAAAGAAATTTTTAAAAATTTAAAATGTTCCAATTCACCCCTTATTGGAAATATTTATATTGAGCTTATTGCACTAACACAATTTTTTATGTGAGCAAATGAAACCCTTAACAACACTTTTTCACAGGAGCAAATGGAAACCTTCAGTAATGGTTTTTAATAGGCTCAACTATAAACCAAATAACTGGTCAAGGTTAAGCTAAAAGTTTTACAAGAAGAGCACAAGGTATAGAAAGAAAATGCCTTGCAAAGGCCAAATGCTAAGAAGTTTAAGATTGGATACAAAGAAAAGAAATATGTTCTAAAGGATTTTCAAGTGAATGATTCTTCAAAACTTGATGAAAGACTAAGATGAAGGCTACAGAGGGAAAATAAGCTTTAAGATTTCTCTCTAAGGTTTTACTAGTGAGAGCTGGTCTTTTCTTACTACAAAATTACTGAAAGGCATCCTTTTATAGCTGGATTGAAGTTTGGAGCCGTTAGACACAAGTTTGAATTAAATATGATAGTTGCTAAAGCTTGAGGGTCGACTATAATACTTTTATGGTCGACTAAGTTCTTCAAATTTCTCAAACTAAGGTTCCATAGTCGAGTATAACCTTGCTTTACTCGATCTAATTTCCAAAAGTATTTTTTTTACGAATTTGGGCTAAGGTGGTCAACTATGGTGAAGCGAGGGTCGACTATGTCTTTCATTTTCCCTCTGTTTCACTCATCAGGCTTGCCAAGGCTAACTATAGAGGAGTTAGGGTTGACTATGCCTGTGTAATTTGTCAATTTTTCAAACTTTCTACTTCAACGTCGACTATATACAAGCTAGGGTCAACTATGGCTTTGTATTCTTCAAGTTTTCCACTCATTCTACCTTTAGATCAACTTGAGCTTCTTTAAAGTCGAGTCTTGACTCGTGTCTTAAGGATTCCTTGACTTTTTGGTGCCTCTCTTTATCGATCTTTTCTTTGCCTTGCTCCTATAATCAAACAATAATTCAAGGCATGTATGCTTTTGTTTACTTAACTAAATATTCATTGTTTAAAAGCTTTTGTGATATTTTCTAATGATGCATCGTTTTTCAAATAATTTTGTGACTTTAGGGGATGAAAAATATGATTGAGACAATTTCAAATGCTTAACATTAAAATCAAGATATCATGCAATTTTTATCAAATCAAAACATGATGTAGCTCAAGGCTAATAGGGAAATTAAATAAAATTAATTATGAAGTTAAGATTTATTTATCAAGGATAAACTAAAATAATACGTGATTAATTAGAATCATTTTTTAGACGAGCATCCTAAGGGTGCTTAGACTTCAATTTATTTCATAGACTGGAATCTATCTTTTTTAATGAACCTAAGTTAAACATATGATCTCATTATATTAAATAAATTTAATTAGATGATGAATTTCACTTAAATAAAAAAAATATTGGTGACTACTCCTCTGCATGTCGAACGGTTGAATATTTTAACTCACAAGTTGCGACTCATACTTATTCTGATGTTTTATTATTATTTTAAGAATCACAAAACCAAAGAATGGCATTACTTTTTAAGCCAAGTAGTTTATGGAATCTCTCTTCGTTTGGTTTCAATTACCACATTGTATGTGTTTTCCCTAGATTGCTAGTTGAATAAAAAAAAGAAGTAAGAACTTTAGTTATGATTCAATAAAAACACACACACACACATAAATATACTTGTTGAAGCATTCCGTATACATCTACAGAGAATGAAATCTCTAGTTAGCGTTTATTTTCCATATATAAACAGAGCCAATACGTTTGGTGATGCGCTAGCAAGGATAGGTGTGGGTGGAAGGGTGATGTTTCTTTATCAGGTCCTGTAATTGGTTTGATGATAACCAAATAAATTACTAAGCCAGTAGCAGAGCGGTACCTCCCCTGTTTTTCTCTTGCTTTAAATTCTCCTCCATGATTCAATGGAGGTGTTCTTGTTACTTCTATGTTAAAACTTCATCAGGTCCCCTTTTTTTTTGTAATTTTTTTACGTGATTATTAAATGTTTTTTTTTTTAGCCGGATTCCCTGTTTTCTCTTGTTGGGATTAAGATTTCCCTAACAAGATTCTATTTGTATTGCAGTGTCATTAATTGCGTGAGAAAAAATAAATGAATAAATAAAATCCTTACGAAAACTTTGAATGTTTGGAACACTTAGGAGATTTGGGATACTTAATTAAATAATCACTTAACTGAGAACCATATTAATTTATAAATGTGCACAGGAATTAATATATTCAACAACAACACAGGACATTTGCTGATTGCTAGTAAAATCATAAATTAAGCAATAGTCATCATATGTAACCACAACCACATGCAGTCGTCCAGTTGCAGTTACAACATACAAATCACAATTACAATACAAACATGCCAGGATTCACTACAAGAAACAACACACAGGTACTGAAACTAATCCGTTTCTTAAGTCGTATATTAAGCCAAGTAGTTAAGAAAAAGGCTTTGAAACTTGCTCATTTCCTTGCTGGGTAGAGACACTAAAACATTGACCCCATTGTTTTCATCAATATCGGGGAATAGCAAGATAATGTCTTTCCTGTGGAAGACCACAGGGCAACTATACCTAGGCCTCCCCCATGGATAATCCACCTCATCAAATCCTAGTTTCCACCAGGACGAAACCAGGAACTCACCATTCGGGAAACCTTGGTATATCTCTCCCCAGTCTATTGCAGACCTTGCGTACTCATCCGTCATTCTTTTTGCTCCCTCCGACACCATCTCCACCAATCTTGAAAATGGCCATTCCTCTATCTCCTTGCACTTGGCCGTCGCATAAGCAGTTAACACTGCGTTTCCCGTGTATGATCTTGGCAGTGGAGGGATCAGCCTAGGCCTTATGTTTACCGCGTACAGCAATGTGGACTCCCTATCAGCATTATTATTGCTCCCTTGCGTGGTTTCTTCGTCCCATGACAAGGCCTTGCAACGCCATACAAGCGCCGTCACCACGTTGAATCCCGTAATGCGCGCGTCCTTGTGTGTTCCGCCAGACGCCTTGGCCTTCTCCTTGAGGTGGGCAATGTTGCCCGACGTCAGCCGGAAAACCTTGAAGTCTAGGGCTTCGGAAGTTGCATCAAAGACGGGAGGGTTAACGTTTGAGTCTACGAATTTGGCCAGCTCAAGGTGGGGGAAGCTGACACATGGCGGGGATCGAGCGGCTAGGAGCTCACGGTCATTGCATGGGATGACAGCCAGGGGTTTGTCAGCAGCCAGGGCGCCCAGGTTGTCTAAGAATATTTTGAAGCTTAACCCATCAAAAGTCACATGGTTGGTAAACATGCCCATGGCAAAGCCACCACATGTAAAGGAGGTCACCTATCGAGAACGGACATAGATGTTCACACATATAATAAATTAAAGAAGATGATGATGATTGTAAATTTTAATGAGCCGTATTTACAGTTCAAACCTTTAATTCTTTCCCTTTCAACACTAATACTTGAAATGAAATGTCTAAGCGATGTGTCCTCTAGCTAATAAATAGGCTATATGACAAGGCTTTCAAACATGAGTGTTTTTTAGATGTAGAACTGAACTTGGACCGTATTACTAAGTAGTGGGCCTCATGGCTTATAAATAAATAAATAAAACTATATCTGTTGTTAACCATAACCAAATTTGTGAGGGCGTAATGACCTTAAAATCTTCAATTTCTTCTTAATTTAAAATTTCATGTTAATATTAAACTTGAAGTTCCTTTTATACATTAATGTTTGGGCATGATGTTCCAATATTATTCCATAAGTGTAAACATGTAATAGAAAAGATACTATACTCACACAATTATTGCTATATAGATATTTTATTTTTAAGCACTAATTTTTATGGTTGATTATAGCTAACAGGAAGTATATATCTGTTGTATTGTTGGGTCCATTTTTCTCCTTTGGAATGCTAGGGTGTATCATATATGTACAATGTAGGCCCTCATAAAATTTTTATACTACTCCCCTTCGTTTTTTCTTTTCCTTTTTTTTTTATCGCATTTCCTTTATCTATTTTTTCTTTTGTAAATGATATAAAACTATATCCAATTCCCTTTTTGGAATCCTTATTATTATTATTTTACTTCCTTTTTCTATAATTCATAATTGTTTTTTATGAATTTTATTTTACTTTTAAACAGTAATAGAAATGGAACATCAACTATGTAAGAAAAGTTTAAAATTTTAATATAATAGACATTAACGTCAATCATTTTTTCTTAAACTCAATGAAATTCAAATAAAGTAAGAGACAATAGAATGGAGTGGGTATATTTTTTATACTTTTCCTCTTTCCTATCTTAAGTCAAAGAGCATATTGACAAAACCAGTTCAAACCCTTTGCCTCTCAAGGGGTGAAAGTGAGGATGCAAGTCGTTGGGACGAGAAAACAAAAAATAAAAAATAAAAAATGAGATAATATAAGAAGGTAAATTGATAAAAACTGGTTAGTTAGAGTGTCATAGGATGCAAGGACTTTTCGTTTCTTAAGTATATACATCCACTGTCATATCCATTAAATGAAATGGTTAGCTGGTTATATGTGTCTTTTGGATTGTAAAAAGGACGTGAATGTGCATTTTTCAAATGAAAGGAATGCAATTAATGGTAGGATTAAAAACAGAAAGTATTCATTCACTTTAAACAAATGAAAAGAATGCAATTAATAATAGATGCATAGATGATAGCTGCAAAGTAACCACAAAAATTTTATGTTCTAACTTTAAGCACGTACGTATATGCATATATAAGTGAGAAACCACTCAACTCATAAAAGCGAAATAATAAATAAAGTTAATGGGTGAAAGAGATAAGAATAGGCCATGAACTTTAACTTTAAAATCATTATAGAGGGGGAACTATTTGACATGAAAGGTTAATCAAGCCGTTTTAGGCTCTCGCAAATTAATAGGTTTTATAATTGTCAAAAAATAAAAATGGTGAGATTATGTTTGGTGGAAGTAAGAGCATTACAAAATTTGTTTTCTTAATAATTACCTGGACAATGCAAAGAGGTTGATCATCTTGTTTCAGGTTATCCATCCTCTTGACAATCAGTTGCCCAAAAGCTGGATTAGGATAAACTAAGTCTCCAAGACTATCCATTGTGTACTCACTGGAGGCCACCGCAAACCCGATGCCAGCTGCATTACAGTCAATCTCTAATCGACCAGTTTCAGGATTCGACCTCAATCTTCCAGCCAGGAAATCGTATGGCACTAGCAATCTGGCTAATGTGTTTTTCAGCTTCTCAGCCACAAGGTGAGGAGGAAAATCTTTGTGGGACGGAAAGAAATGGACGGTCTCGACAGGAAAATTGAGCACTTTGTCTATGTTTGATAAGAACATGGATTTTCTCTCAGTTTGCTGGGATGGAAAAACAAGAGAAACGTTTTGGATAGTGATCTTGAGGTCTTGGAGAAGAGATGGAGGTTCTTCGCAGATGATACCCATACTTACTCTTCTTGGGTTGTCAAAGATCTGCTTAATTCATGACTCTGTTCATGAAAGGCATGCTTATATACATATATATATATATATATATATATGTATAGCAAGGCATGCAAATTCGACTCTATGTAGTCGTGTAGTAAAGAGAGGAGGTTAAAAAGTATACAGCCCAAGCCGACGCCAAAAACTACTATACTTATACTATGTATCTCACGTTGTTTATCCCTCTTTTTCATTTCATTTTACATAGGGATACTCAAGAGGGTTTTTGTTTGCAATCACATTAAACCCTCTTCCTCTCCCCTTTTGATAAATGATGAATCAACACCTTCAATCCAAGGTTTAAGTCTAACTAGGGAAAGAGGGGGGGTGGGGGACCTGGCGGTCCCCTTCCTCCCCCTCGGCCCCACACTCCTAAACTTTTGAAAATCCTCATACCGACGATGGTTTCGCCCCTAAAAGAAAGGGGAAATTATGTCGTGGCCCCTAAAACAACATAATTTGACCCCTTTTTAAAATTTGTAGAGTTTATTTTATAAAAACAAGGATACTTTATTAAATTAAAAATCCAAAGAACCAGTACATGAAGGTATCACCAATACTATGGAAAAAAATTTTAAAACAACAAACATCGTATGCAAAATTTTTTGTACACTAGTTAGTTATCAGCCAATCGGTTTGCAACTGGATTTTTTCACTTTCAATATGTAAAACAATTTTCCTCAGCCTCCATGGAGCATAATGAAAATTTAAAACTCATTTAACCACGGCATTTTGTAGAATTACTTTCAATCAATAAACAATGAAAGTTTATCCAATTAGAAACAGTAAATATAATAAAAGTTTCTTTAGTAGCAAGTAATTCAACAAAATTGAAATCACCAATACCAATTATTAACTTATTAACTATTTTGTAGATTAATAAGCAACTCCAATCTGTAAACAATAAACATTAGTAGACTAATGTAACAAAAACACTGCTTTTGTTTTAAATCTAATTATTAACTTAATTTTCTGTAACTTTTTTACGCATGATAAGACATGATCTTTAATCCTTACATAATTTGTTAGTTCCTTAAATTAAGAGTTTTTCTTCTCAATCATTCAAATAAGCGCGCTATTATATAGTAATTATCGTCTCAATCAATCTCTTTCTATCTTAACAATAGAAAATCCAATTAAAGAAATTCAAAGAATTAAATATGTACGCAAAATCAATTGTGTAATTAGCTTATCTTAATTTGTTTCTTGTTTTAAATTACCATAATTCTTTTAAGGTTTTAAATGGCTCTGCCTTTTTTAGTTAGTAGTTAGATTTTGATGTTTTTCTGCTTTTTCCTTTCTTTTTACATTAAGACCTGAACTTTTTTATTCAACCCCTTCTATATCAAATATGGATTATAATATATGATATTTTATTCAATATTAAAAATATTATACATTATACAATATTTATACTATCATTGTGTTTAAAATTTGGTGTCTTATATACAATTTATACTTTTTTTTAATTCAAAGAGAATAGAAAAGGATCCATTACAGTTTTTACCCCCTCGAGACGTGACCTGATAAACCAATTGTAATAGGAGGAAAGAAGTGAGTGAAAAAATGAGTTGAATATCAACATGCAATGCCCAAAGTCAGAAGATTACATTTTTACAGTTGTTAATTATTGAGAGGGTGGATCTCATGATTCATGACAGTCAACTCTTTTATGGTGACGGTAGATGAAATGTGCAGTTAATTAAAGAGGTGGTTGAGAGTATGTTGGTGCACTAAATGAAAGAAAGGGAAATAAACAAGGGTTGTTGAGTTGATTAAGAAAGAACTGTACGGCATATAGTGAAGGTCGTGATTACAAATCAATACCAATTGTATGTGCGGTGGGCTATTGATGGTGTTGGATACAGTAAACTACCAAAGTTAGTAGGTAATTACCAAAAGCATTAATGAGTATCAAAATTACATTATATATATATATATATGTCAATATATTTCAGGTCTTGTTCCGAGCATTTAATTTAATTTTTGGTGCATATTTCTCTCTCTTCTAAAGAATTTACGGGGTTTAAATCCTCTCATCACCTATACTAAAAAAAAAAAAGGAAAATCTATAAGATAATTTTAAACTATATAAAGAGAGATATATAACCCACTCTCATTTTATAAACATTACCCTTTCTTCAAAGTTTGAATATTCAAATTCAAATATCTAAATTTTAGCAACTAAGTTTATTTTGGTGATATAGAGTATGAAAATTGCATAAAATTGGAATAAATATTATCTTTAAAATGAAGAAGTTAGAGCTCTTACAGTTAATTTCGCGTGAAAAAGGAAAACAAAAGCAATGCAAGTGAAAAAAAAAAAAACAAACAAAAGAAAAAATTGGTTAATTAGTAACAACCAACAATTAAAGTGATAAAGTCATTGTGGACAAGGCTTGCTGGAGTTGTACTTCGCATATATGAAGAGAAAGTTAGCGTTGTGGAAGAAATCCTGATCTAATCAGGTCAGCAAAGGCACCTTCTTATTTAAAATGACATCCACCTCCTGCTCGACCGTGTTGAAAACTACTGACTTTTCTAAAAGAAATCATGACAATACTTCTTTAAATATAATGCTTGGAAAGGTTCTTATACTATATAAATTAAAATAAATTTTTATTTTTTATTATATTTAATTAAATTTTAATTTTTTTTATTTTAATTTAAATAAATTTTTATTATTAATATTATTAATCAAAGTATCACTTATTATTTTTGTAACATGTGGTGTTGACGTAGTATTAACATAAAAGTAAAAATGCTACATAGTTAAGTCATTGTATACATCAATATATAACGTCATTATTTACTATGATATATTAATATGTCACACTAATATCATAAAAAATTATAAATAATATTTTAAATAATAATAATTAATCAAGGGTTAATCTTAAAAACCTATTTAATATAACTAAAAAATATAAAAAAAATAAAAAATATTCATTTTTCACATTTTCTTTCTCTTCCAACTCATTTGCCTCTCTCCTTATCTCTCTCAGTTTCCTCCACCATCAAAGATCAGCAACTCCCGTGCCTTTATAACTAGATCTAGCTCTTCACTATTAGATCCAATTGAAGAAGCCTAGATCCAGTCATGCGAAACGCCAACCTAATCCTCACGGTCAGATTTGGCATTCAGTGGTGATTGACCGACCAATCAAAAAATTATTAAATTTTTAATTATAAATTATTTAAAAAATTAATATTTCAAATTGAAATAAATTATATTTATAGTTATAAATTATTAACATTTTAAAAATAAAGAATAAAAAATCAAATAAAATAATCTTATTAATGTTTTAATTATGAATTATTAATATTTTAAATAAATTATAAATATTATTATTTTTTTGAAAATTAATATTTTAAATAAATTATAAATACTATTTGCCCAATTACTTGGCTTCCGCCCATCAAGAGACCCACCTAACTTTATTTCCATTCTCATTCTCGGTTTCTATATTTTTTTATAGCAATCACATGTTACATCATATCATGATATTATTTCCAAGAAGAAACTCATCAGTTAGATTGACGTGGCCCGAGATTCTGCGTTTTCTGATTAATTACTCGGTTCTTTTTAGTGCAATTATTTACATCAAACTGTTTAAAGCTTGTTAGCCCCGCTCCTTGTAAATACTCTTTTGTGCCTCTTCCCCTTACCGTTTCTTTGTTTTTTTTTTTTTCCCTTTTTTGCTGAGCACCGGAGCCTGGAGGGATAGCCAAATTCAGTTCTTTGAACTAGAAAGAAAATAAAAAAAAAAATACTTCCATCATTGGTTCAAATGAAGAGCTGTTGACTCTATGAACCGGCTGCAGTTATATTCAAACTCATTAATTTGAATTGGTTTTTTTTTTTTGCTTCAACAGGATATGGGGAATGATTCTTGACCCTTATACAGTAGTTGATCAAAGTACAATGGTACTGTATATGCATAGAAAGTATCTTTCAGGCTCCAAGTAATGTTTTTAATTATTTAAACAAGTTGATGAAAATATTTTTAGTTGTTTAGATAATTTTGTAAAAAATAATTTTCATCATGATCTACCTTCAATAATTTTATACCATATCATCATAAACATATTAACATTAATCAATTATACAATCCATCCAAAACATTTTTTTAATATTAAAAATCTTAGATATAAATAATATTTATTTTTTATATATTTATTTCTCATTATATTATTATATTATTTATTTTTTAAAAAATATATATTTAATTTTATTACTAAATATCAAAATCAATTGATTTTAGATTTTATTAATACAATAACAAAATAAATAAAATATAAAATTAACCTCACATGCAATCAGCCCAAAATTGGAGACTTTTGGACAGTAAATCTAAATCTGGGTGCGCCAACGGCAAGCAGAAACCAGCTGCAATAAAAATACATGCTGTCCAAGTATACCCAGTCTCCTTTGCATGTGCGGACAGCGTGTTCACTTGTCTTTATCAGACACATTCTGCCTGCCCACAAAGAGCACCTATCAACTCAACAGTTGTCCAAAAACAGCCGCCTTATCCAAAAACAGCCACGTTATGTGGAGAAAATTAACCGTATCAAAATCAGCCTTCTAGAATTTCAAACAACGATAAAATCTTAGCAACGAATTCTTGTAGACAACAAACTCCTCCCAGCTTTAGAATTCTAGTTTGGTCGGTTACTAAGTGCACCATTTCACATTTATTAACGTACTGAGGATCCTTTGCATAAATCCAATATAAACTCAGCTTGCATCATTTGAATTCTTTAAACTAATATTTATTGTTGAGTCCATAAAGTGTACAAGCTGATCCCTTCTACCAATTCCATCCTTAACTAACTTGTCAGTATCTACATTAGCTTCATTGTAAGCGTGTGTTGCCTTCCATTGTTTAATCTTTCTTTTACAAAGACTCCATGCTAATCATCAAATCTTTAATTCTTCAAGGCACACCCTTCGAATTATTAATCTAGTAAACTGCATTCATTGAATCACTTTCAATTTATAATTTATAATCCTTATAATTTGAACTTTTACAAAAATTGTGAAAAACTTCTCTAATAGCCATCAATTTTGCCTTGTTTGAGTCTGTAAGGCCTAGT